TCCTCTTCAACATCCCTTTTCCATCTTGTTCTCGGTCTACCCTTCCTTCTCTATCCACCTATTTCACGTTTCATTATCGTACTAGGAATTCTTGCTTCAGCCATTCTTTCAATGTGTCCCAGTCCTAGTCCTAGGACTGGAACTAGGTGGTCCCATCTAGGACTCCTAGGCTGAGATGGCTGAGACTTCCAGTCATCTCAGTCTTTATGCTCTGGCTACTCCCGTTATACTCGGTGCCCGATATAGTTGCTTTAATTCTTCATTTGTTCTTCTGGTCCATATGTTATCTATTTTCTTTCCTCCAAAAATCGTCCTCAGTATTTTTCTTTCTCAAATCTCTAGCCTCGAACTTTCCGTTGCATTGAACGTCCACGTTTCACATGCATACAGCACTATTTCATTGTTTGGTACATTCTGGTTTTTAAACTTCTAGAGATGTTCTTACTCTTAATTTAGAAATAGTTATAAAAGGTGCGGGAATCAACAGAGAGGGCCTTCTGTATACAAAAAGACACCAATGCTTAGCCTTTGCTTAGCCTTTGATTTAGTTATCTTAGCAAGGGATCGGAAAGAGCTGATATCGGTGACCAAAAGACTAGAAAATCAAGCGAACTCTAGAAGTTTAAAAACCAGAATGTACCAAACAATGACAACATATGGACCAGAAGAACAAATGAAGAATTAAAGCAAATATATCGGGCACCGAGTATAACGGAAGTAGCAAGAGCACAAAGATTGAGATGGCTGTGACACATTGAAAGAAAGCTGAAGCAAGAATTCCTAGTATGATAATTAAACGTGAAATAGGTGGAAAGAGAAGGAGGGGTAGACCCAGAACTAGATGAAAAAAGGAGGTTAAAGAGGACTTGAGAAGGATAAGAGTGGATGGGTGGAAAATAAAGGCGAAAGACAGAAACAAATGGAGAAAGATAATCCATCAAGTTATGAGCCTTTTAGGTTTTTAGAGCTATTATATATATTTTTATAATTTATCTGACATTTTAAAAATATGTCGTTTTTTACGAACATTTCTATCTAGCTATTTTTGTTCAAATTTACTCGTGTTTCCCCTAAACCCGTTCCCACAAAACTATCATCCGCACTTGCATAGTAATGTAGTTTATTATCAATACGAAAAAAGGAAACCCCATATTTATTTTAAATAACCTTATCTATGGTACTGCAAAAAAACCGTTAGCTTTAAATAATGTTTCGTACCTTATCACCGAAAGAACTTCCGCTCGAAGACTTGCCTTGCATCAAATTCTTTTATGTTCAGCAATAACTGATAACCCATATAGAACCTATAGCACCATATAATCACAAGTAAATGTATTTTATTAGATTATATTATACAGTATGATCGAAAAAAACGGCGTCGGCGATGGCTATGAAATGAAGATAGTTGAATAATGCTCCTTAACTTAAGAATCCATTTTATTATTCCGAAAAAGTAGGAAAATAAGCGTTTAACGTTTTAGCTAGGTATTTTTACACAAACGAATAAGGAAATTAAATTAATTAGAGAACTTCTTTATTTTTAAGATTTTCATGGACAAACATCAACAAAATATTCCTTATGTTTGGACTAAATTTTCTCGGAAATAAAGACATAATTTAAAATTCCGTTACAATACAGAAATAGATTGAAGTTTTGTGATTACAGTGATATATAATTTATATGGTTTTGTAACAAATTGCTCGCTATTTTAGGGCAAATGCTGAAGCTCTGCAAACCTTAATCAAGCCTTAATCAAAGCACGTATGTTTGGAATTTTGGGTGTGGCTTAACACGACAGGATCTGGCTAAGCCTTAGGCAGATTTCTGAAATATAATATATATTTCCTTCGGCCTCACACCCGCTTTAGCCCGCCCCTGACAACGACCCGAAAGTACAGCGTAATAGACTCTTAACTAAATGAGAAAATCAGATATTTGTAAAAAAATAACCCCTAAAAACTTCTAATGAACCATATTAATCTTATTTTTTGTGTTGATGTAATATTAATTGTTTAACTTTAATAGAGTATATGAGTATTTCGTAATATTGTCAGACATGACATTGATGGCTAATGATATCGCGACATTTTTATTTAAAATAAATGATTCTCTTCTATCGATCGGTACTAACTATTATTATTATAACAGACGACGGTGTCCAAAGTTGTCGTCCAAGGTTGCACAGGAGTTATTTATAAAAAGAAAACCGCGTAATTAATAATTAAATTCGTCAGTACCGTGTTTAATGGCAGAAGTGGTACCTCTTTACCTATGGCCAACGGTCAACCTTCACGACCAATTGACGATCGTTTATTTATTTATTTTTTATTTATCGTTATCGACCTGAGCTGGAATTAGTTTAAGTTCTCTTCAAAAAGAGAAATGCATGAAAACATTTGATCATAGAAAAATTTGCAATGTACAAGAATTTCAGGATTTCCCATAGATATAGAGACAGCGAGGTCTATATGATAAGCCAATTCTAATGTCATTTGTAACATATCCTGATAATGAGTCATCCTGATTTTGTCCGGATTTCAAAGTTCACTTGTCCTGAATTTGAAAACAAAACTTGTAGTATGGAAACCCCTATATGTATATACAGAGTGTATCTTTTTTTTGAAATGACTTCTGGGACTAAACTAGAGATGAGGAGCAGTACCGATCCAGTAAAAATCGATACAAGATCAAAAGTAATTGACACAACATCCCTAATAATCGACAGATGTGGATCTTTATTTCCAAGCCATCTTTGGCGCCATTTTTGTTTCGACCATACTGTAGATATTCCACCTTTTTTTGATAAGTAAATATTAAAAACATCCCATTGGTTGCCAACTTAAAGTCTTCGGGAAAAAATCTAAATTTATACTAGACATCAACAATATCAAATATCGATATCGATGTTTCCTGAAAAATACCCCATCCCTATTAATCAGCCGGCATCGGTGACTGAAATACTAAAAAAAAACATTCGTTGCAAACTTAAAGTCTTCGAGAAAAAAAACTTAATCTATCACTGTCTCTGGATATCACCCACAAAAATATAAAATATCGATATCGATGTTTCCTGAAAAATACCCCATCCCTACTAATTGGCCGGCATCGCCGACTCAATACAAAAAAACCATTCGTTACAAACTCAAAAGACAGGACTTAGTGCATTCCCCAAAAAAGATATTAAATATCCATATCGATGTTTCCTAAAAAAATATCCCATCCCTACTAATCGTCCTCCGTCGCTGGCCGATGATGCACCGCTGCATATCGCCCACTTTTAATCACTTTTCCTCATTCTCCACGTTATTACACCGCTCCACTGAATTTTCCCCCACCTTTTTTCTATTCCTCTCCTCCACGACGTCTGTCCCCCCGTCCCGGTCCCCCAAAACCCCGCGCGCACTCCAAACAATATCGCGCAGTCTCAACCAAAGCCAACTGATAAGAAAAACAAGAACGCTCGAACCAATTCTTCTTATCAGCCCGTCATCATCATGAGAAAAACGAAAAAAATATAGATACATCGTCAGAAGAAGACACACACACACATAATAATTTATTGGGTTAAGTATTCTTATCATACACCGCAAAAATCGCTGCACGTGACAATATAGTACACTTAACTATTTCAAATTAAATTTAGACGATACATTAATGAGGACGAAGAAGATGTTAAAGATAATTTTAATAAACTGTGTTAAATAAAAGAAAAATGAGACTCACCGCGGTAGGGAGGTTATCCGGAAGGACACTCTGGATCTAAAAATAGCGTACCATCCTCTCTCTAGGCCTCCAGATTATTCTCCACGCTCTCCAACTAGACGAACGACTTCGAAGCCACTGCTGAGCGTGCCTGCAGCAATACCAACGACGGATTACTTCTTCTTGCGTCACAGAGTACACTGCTGGCGTCGCAGTGTATGGTCGATGTAGACAGAGGCCTCTGGATTATCCAGGAAAAGGTCGAGACCTAACGAAGAGCTAGATGGACGGGTGTGCAATGCTGGTGCAGACGTGCTGCCTTTGCCGATGGCGACTACGCACGTACGATACTCGTCCTTCTTATCGCTGGCTGAGAGAATCGGCTGGCACACACACACAGGTGTTTGTTTTCGATTTAATGGTATCTTTCGATGGTGAGATAAAAGAGAAATAAATTTCGTAGAGGAGGATTCCGTTTTTATAATGATAGCTGAAAAAATTAAACAATTGGGGCATTTTCTCTTTAAAACCGCTCAAATTCTTTATATCTTTCATATATAATTAGCAAAATCAAGAGTAAAAGCATTGAACATCTTATTTTATTAGTCTAATCTCTTTCTATTTCAATAATCTATGAATATTTCGATTTTTCAGCCAATGTCAATTAATTTTCAAGTTTCTATGAACGATTTTTATTAAAATGAAACATTTATTTGAAATTTAAATGTTTTAGAATAAAATTATATTGATTAAACTTTATACTACTAGTTATACCGGCCTGTATTAAGAGTTGCCTAAAATTAAGATTCATTTATAATCTTTGCTCTTAGATTCAATTTCAAGTATTTTCAGATTCAGATCGTAGACTAAATTGTCTGTTTTTATTTAAATATAACTATATTAACATATAACTTCCTTCTTTCTTAGGTGTATTATTCGATAAACACATTAAATTCAAGAAGATAGTCATTAAATATATATTTTGCAGGTCTAATCACCTGTTGATCTAAAATATTACAGTCACATATCAGTATTCTTATTTTTCAGCAGTAGTCAATTAATTTTCATTTGTAAAACTATTATTTAGCGCAAAACTTGCTTCATTTGAATGCAACTCTTTATACAGAACAGTATAATGAGTTGCATAAACAAACACCAAGCTTATCAATGACTAAAAAATACAGATGTAGTCATTGAAGTTTATAAAACTCATTTTTCTCGAAAAATGGCTTTATCGGGTTTTGAAACTAGGCGACTCAATTTACAAAATGAAATAAAACACTTTTCTATAACGATTAATCCTAGTATTTTAAAAATTCTGTAATTAAATGGTTAGGCAACCCTATATTCACATGTGTTGTATTATTATTACAATTACAATGAAAAATTAAAATAGAAATGAGCATCATGCATTTTATACATTAATATTTAATTAATAAAATATAATATAAATTTCCAGAGTACATGTTTGACAAATTATGATTTCCAAAAGTTTGGATGGTGCATCAATCTTCGTTCAAAGTTTGTATACCAATTTTGAACAGTAGACAGAGGTACGTAGGTCGATGTAGGATCTGGAACCATATTTGCCTGAGTTATAGAAAACGACAACACATAATCCATAAAGTTTTTCAGCATCTTTTGGGCAAAGGTCACTTGTAATTCTGTACTTTCCGAAGAGGGTATATCTTGTATATTTGCAATGGGCTCTATACTAATCCCTATTTGAGCATTGTGAACTATATGAGTTTGACCAAACATCATATTAGAATAGTCACCCATTTCGTCTAATCTCTTAATGTTTGATACTTTAAAAATTACAGATGGTTTGGAATTTGAAATGCTGCCTAGTAATTGCCAATTCGGGGGAGCAAGCGGATTCGGCCAACTAAAATACACTTGCCCCGCTAAACCCTCTGGAAATGGAATACTTCCTGTTAGGAAAAGAACAATATGATTTATGTTATCGGCATCAGCAATCGTTGTTACGAACTGTGTTTCGAATATTCGCTGAAATTCTGTTTGAACAGGTCTTCCAGAAACAATTAAACCAAACATTGACATTATTGGACACTCCGCTGATAGCAAAATAACTCGAATATGTGCTCTAATGAATGCTTTTAATTAGGCTCTAACGGTTTTATTCTTATATTTTGGCTCTATGAATAATTTTAAAACAAGAAACGCGATAAAAACTCAAAAGCGTGTTTACATTTATACATACCACAGATTATATCAAAATTGTCAAATAAATAAAACATTAAAGTCCCTAGATCTTAGACAAAGACCCTAAATATCTAGGGACTTTATGAAAGTTTCTTTTAAAGACGAAATAAAAACGTGTTTTTGACAGTCCCCGTCCTTCCGATTTGACACTTCCGACAGTTCCAAACTGCCTTTTCATTCCTTGTTTAGAAAGATGGCAGACAATAAACTCTACGATATATTAGGAGTTAGTAGAAATGCATCTGATAATGAAATTAAAAAGGTAAGTCGAATTATAATTCCCCAAATATCATTCTTCATTTCGATTTTCCCCACTAAACCCCAACACACGACGCGATGCTTAAATTCTTGACGTGAACTTTTCAAGGCTAAACATCATCCAAGTAAAGCGTTAAATCGTTGTCTGAGACGTAGTTTTTTGCATTTTTCCAGCAATATAGGAAACTAGCGAAGGAATTCCATCCGGACAAGAATCCGGAAGCGGGTGACAAGTTCAAGGAGATCAGCTATGCCTACGAAGTTCTGTCAGACCCAAAGAAGAGGTCAACCTATGACAAAGTGGGGCTCAAAGGCATGCAAGAGGGAGCACACCAAGGCTTCGACGATCCCCTGTCTCATCTGTTCGGTGGCGGATTGTTTGGTGGATTTGGTGGGTTTGGGGGTGGAAGCATGCACAGGAGACAACGTGGAGAGGACACTATTCATCCACTGAAGGTTACCTTGGAGGATATGTACAATGGGAAGACTTCCAAGCTACAGCTTAGCAAGAATGTAATTTGCACTAGTTGTAGTGGAACGGGTAACAAAACTGGGGAGCCTCCGGAGAAGTGTCATTCCTGCAATGGATGTGGAATGAAAGTGACTTACCGAAGTTTAGGGCCTGGTATGGCACAGCAGGTATGTTTTGATTGTTTTTTTTGTATGTTTACTAATCGCTGATATTAAACGAATACAGAGGTATGTTTATAAAGCAATAATTATTATTTTGAAATATATAGTATTGTTAATTGAACTAAAGAACAATGTTAACATGTTTATAATTCAAAAGTAATTTTTATTTTGAAATGGTATTGTTTTTTTTTTTTCAAGAATCTAATTTTTGAAATTATCTTTGAAAACAAAAAAAAATATATAGGGTGTCAAAGAAATAGTGTATCTAACTTCTTTAAAAAAACTAGGTCTTTTTTACATAAAAAAGTGTTTGATTTTGTTCGAAACGGTGAACGGTTTTCAAGATATTTGTATGTAAAGGTTACAATGCATTGATTTTAGTAGATATTAGAGAAATGGAATTAAATGTAAATTTTTTTTAAATAAATGAATCTCCTGATCTTGCTGTTTTAGGGCATATGTTCATAGGAACTTTTTGTTTTATTTTTATCTCTAGATCACCCACAGAAGTTAGATACTATTTTTTTGACACTCTGTATTATTATTTTGGATTTCATAGTTGAAAATAGATTAGATTACAAAGGTTATTTTTTTGTCTTATAGGAAATCATAATTAAATATTCTATAATTGTCATTATTATTTAGTAATTACATATTTACAAAAAAAATCCTATTTTATTATAATTTTTTTTTTGATCAGTTATATTTTATGACTTGTTTGTAATAAAAATCTGACTTTTGATTTATTTATCTAAAGATAAATGACATTGTAGTTTTCTTAAAATTTCAGATATATTATTTTTGCTTTTTTTTTAAATAAGTTCAAATTTATTGGTAGTGAATATTGATTTTTTTAGGTCAACTTATATTCTTGCTATCTTTTTACTATTTTAACAACTGATTGTTTTATAGTAACTAATAGGGTGCACAAAAGATTTTTTTTCTTCTTTTAATTGCCTTGAATTTTCAATTCAGATATTTATCGTTCACGATGACAATTTTTGAGTTTTTGAAAAAAAACGGGATTTTTTTAAAAAATTTATTGCTTTCTAACAAATCAGCGTATTGCAAAAACCAATACATGTTTTTGTAGCAAATTGAACGGTCTTCAAAAAAGGTCTGATATGATTTTCTGTTTAATCCACTCGTTTGAAAGTTATTGAAGGTTAAAGTTCAACTTCAAATCTGATAACAATTTTTTATATTTTGTCACGAAATAGTGGCCAAAAACATAAAATATCCTATTTTGCGTAAAGTTCATTAAGTGTTCTTTGGTAAAACTGAAATTGCAATAATTATTAATTATCCCTAAGTACAATAATTAGGAATCATCCTGATTCAATATAGTCATTTATTTTTAACCAAGACTGTGTTTTTTTGTATACAGGGTGTTCCTTAATGACATGCTAATATTTAAGAAGGTGCTTCTTAGACTTATTCTAAGAAAAACACTTCATATGAATATATTTCCCAAATAGTTTAACTTTTCAGATACAGGGTGGTAAAATTTTCTAATTTTTTTTTCAAATATCTCTGATCGAATATTTGATACACGTCTTCAATGCATCAAAATGCTTATTTTTGATAGAGAGACAGATTCTTTGATAGAGATTTTTCTGAGATTTTGAAAATAAATTTTATTTTAAGAGAAATCAGTGGTGTACCACCTTTTTCTCCAAAAATATTTAATGTAAAACCCGTATGTTCGGCACTGGTTGAAAGAAATAAAATCCTTTGTACACCAAAAAAAGTATTTTGATGCATAGAAGACGTGTATCAAGTTTTATAAAGATATCTGTAAAGAAATCAGAGTTAAAAAAAGCATGAAATATAAATTTAAAAAACGTAAAACACAAATAACTGAATTGTTCTATTGCGGAATATCAGGCGTCGAGCTGGTCCCATCTTCATAGGGTATTATAGTAGTAGTAGTACTGTTTCGTCAGTTTCTATTTCCAAATCAGATATATTTGATGTATCATCTGGTTCTGATTCTTAAGGATGGACCTCTACCTCCACGAGTTCTAGTGGTTCTGGAGGAATTTCATGTTGTTGAATATCATGCTCCATATCCACTTTTTGTTTTTGTAGTAATAATTTATTGTTATTAGCTACGAACAGTATTTTACCGGCTCTTTGTGCAGTTGAGCGATTCCTTTTTTTAGTATGGATAAAACTGTAAGTACTGAAACTTCTCTCTGTGGCTGCAGATGACTTTGATAAAGACAGCAGAGCAACAGCTAAATATTTCAACTGAGTATTTTTACACATTGCTTGCCACCAACTTAGACAGTCTACATTTTTAGCTGACATCCAAACGTAGTCGAGAGCCCATAAATCCGATTTGGCGCAATAATTTGTTACATCTGTAAAAATGGCTTATTATTGACAAACTGAGGATGATTGTTGGTGATATTGTTGATAAATTCCATATCGGTTATGTGTTCTTCATTGTTAAGGTGCTCTCCCAGGAAACAGGGGTCCAAGAGATTCGCGGCAAAATGCATTGGTTCAAGAGCCATAGGTTTTTACACTTTCGTTAAATTTTTGCTCAATGTCTTGAATTTTGAAAAGAAATTTCTTGCAAAATTCGGATTTTTGCGAATATTCGCGATTTTGGGACCGAATATTTCGGAAATTTCTGAAATTTCCTTCAAAATTCGAATGGAAATATTCGCTACCAACATCACTATACATTCAACATGTTGATTTGTTAGAAAGCAATAACATTTTCCATATTATTTAAAAGACACCTTTTAATATTTTTGTTAAGAGCTCAAACTTTACCAGATTTTTTTTCCATTATACTAAATATACAGGGTGGTCCGAACTGTATTCCCGAAAGCAGCATATTCTGCAGATAAAAATAAGTAAAAAAGTTCGTATAAATGTATCTCCTAAAATGCTTGGTTTCGGAGATACAGGGTGTAGAAGTTTCATTTTTATTTCGAGTTTTTCCAAATAATTTCTGAAGTAACGTCAATATTTGGATGAAAATTGGTGCCTGTGAGTTTTTTAACATGAGAAATTTGATTTTGATGTCAATATGAAGTATAATACCTTTTTTTCCGTACCTGTATAAAAGTAGTGAGTAAAAAAATAGACATGTACGAAGTTTTTTACATAAAAAAGGTCTCTTGGTAAAAATCGCTATTAGTAATGGTTCTCGAGATATTTGGAATCTAAATTGTCAATATCTGTCACCATTGACATATATTAAACATGTTGACAATAGTTATTAGTCTGAAATCATAAATTTGAAATATTTTTCTGCAAAAGTTTATACAAAAACTGTTTTATCATCATTTTTTCGAAGAAAAATTTATGATTACTTTAACAAAATAATAAGTTTCCGAATTTATCATTTCAGTCAAATAACTATCTATTCAACATGTTTTTTTTGTCAGAAATGACATGTATTAACTATTTCCATTCTAAAAGAACGGTTGCTCGTAGCGATTTTTACCTAAAGACATTTTTTACGTAAAAAACCTCGGAAATATATATTTTTTCACTCAGTAGTTTTATACAGGTACGGACAAAAAGTTATTAGACTTCAAAACAGTTAAAACACATGTAGGTGGCGCCCCCTACAAATAGGAGTCATATTGACATCAAAATCAAATTTCTCATGTCAAAAAACTCCCACGCACCAATTTTTATTCAAATATTGACGTTACTTTAGAAATTATTTGGAAAAAATCGAAATAAAAACAAAACTTCTACACCCTGTATCTCCGAAACGAAGCATTTTAGTACATACATTTATACAAACTTTTTTACTTATTTTTATCTGCAGAATATGCTGCTGAAGTTTCAGGAATACAATTCGGACCACCCTGTATACAGGGTGTCCCAGAAATAAGTGCAAGTATTTTATGTGGTGATGATACGTCTCGATAAAAGTAACATATTTTCCAAGTCCAAAATAACGGAGTTATTTTAATTTGAAAATTTCTAAAAAAAATTTTTTCTGGATTTTTTTTCTTGTAAATTTAATTTAATACCTATGTTGCCATATTATCAAGAAATTATGTTTTTTAACTAAAAAATGAAATACTTTCCAAAAAATTTCGAATTTTCAAATTTTTTTTTCGTGAAAAAACCTCATAGGCGTGTTTCTGGGGTTGAACTATACTACCAGTTAAATATTTGCACTTATTTCTGGGACACCGTGTATATAGATATTTTCGTGAAAACTAAAATAAAAAAATCTTTTTTTTTTTTGGTGCACCCAACGTAGACCCTACAAATATATTTTTCCAGGTCCAATCATGTTGTCCAGACTGCCGCGGCGAAGGCGAAGTGATCAAAGAAAAAGACCGTTGCACCACCTGCCACGGCCAGAAAGTCTGCAACGAAACCAAGATTCTGGAGGTGCACGTCGACAAAGGCATGCGCGAGAACCAAAAGATATTCTTCAGGGGCGAGGGCGATCAGCAACCCAACGTAGAGCACGGCGACGTGGTCATTATCCTTCAACAAAAACCTCACGAACGGTTTGAAAGAAAAGGCAACGACCTCTACATGAAACACACCATCTCCCTCACCGAGGCATTGTGTGGATTCACCTTCCTAGTTCATCACCTGGATAAACGCGACTTACTTATCAGACATCCGGCTGGAAACGTTATTAAACCCGGTGACGTCAAGACAGTGTCCCAAGAAGGTATGCCGGTTTACAAGAACCCCTTTGAAAGAGGTAACTTGTACATCACCTTCGATATCAAGTTCCCAGAGGATCATTTTGCTCCCGAAGACACTTTGAAGCAGCTAGAATCGATTTTACCGCCTAGGTTGGCGTTTTCCATGCCGGAGGGTGAACATGTTGAGGAAGTGGACTTGGTGGACTTTGATCCGAATGAAAGGAGTTCTAATTCTGGTAGTAGGGGCGAGGCTTATGCTAGTGACGACGAGGAACACCACAGACCCGGGATGCAGTGCGTACACCAATAAACTGATTAGGATTTTATTAATATAATTTCTTTTTTTGTATTTGTTGTCTAGCGCTTCTTTCTAAATAAGGAAATTTTTAACAGATATGAACTTACTTAAGATATCTGGAACACTATTTATATATAAAAAAACAGAAGAAAAATAACGTAATAATGGGGATACAGTGGATAACAATGGTTTAAGATAAACGTTTTTTGAGCTAGGGTTGGTAGCTTTCAAAAATATTTTTTTTTGTAATTTTAATTCAAACTTTAAGCTAATACTTTAAGGAAAACTAAATGTATTTTCTGAAAAATTAAGTTCCAGAATGAAAGTTTAGAATTAGACATGACTGGTGTGTGATTATTTTTTGACATTCCTGCTTATTACCAATTTCAGGGTCTCAGATTGACTTATCTGTCAATTTAGTACTGTAATCCAGTGTTGCCAGAAGTTTTCAAACGAATTTCTTCAACAGAGCCTTAAAAAACCTTCATATTCCTAAACTTCACAAAAAAAATCCATTTATTATGAAAAATCACGAAATTTCGTGGATTTTACCTATTTTATAATTAAGAAAAAAAAATTAAAAACTTATTTCTGGTAATTTTTGAACATTGCTTTAAACTGAGGCATTCTTAATTAAATACCGTTAAAGTAAAAATATGTATATGTAGGAAAAACAATATATACCCCTACTACATAGTTTAACAATTTTTTTTTGCAAAACTGCCAGAAATCCTTATATTGTCTTCTTTTTGGATTAAAATCCAAATTGATCGACGAAGTTTGGCTATAAAATCCTTCATATTGAAGAAAGTTCCCCAATTCTGGCAACACTGCTCTAACCTATAATGATATTGTTATGAAATATGTTCAGAACTATTTTTTTTCACTCTGAACTATTATCAATACATTATTTTAAAAATATAAACAAATCTACAGGTTTGATCATATTTTTCATTTAATTAGAGCATGATTAAAACTGTATGGTGTTCTTTCAAGCCAGTAAAAATTATTACTTCAAATATATTTGTCAGGAAATGCATATAGTTTTCTTTATAACTGATAGTTTGAGTTTTTTTTAAGACAAAATCTTACCTTCATAAGAAGATATAATACACTTCACTTTGGAAGCTACTGACGTATAAAAACACTAGAAATTTTCAGTGTACAATATATTTAACCGATTTGAATAGTGTTTTGATTTGTTTCTTTAGATTTTCGTATGATTTAATTCCGCAAATGTAATGTTTAACACTAATACGAACATATGTTGTAAGTATTCTTTTTTTAGCGTCATTGTTAATTTATACCATTCATATTTATTTCTGTTCTGTAAAAGCAACCGCGGTATATCGTAATAAAAGTTCTGTCAAGTGTTTTTTCAGACTAGATGCATTAATATCTATTTAAATAAAGTGAAAATTTAAGAGGCAGTGTTTTATTTATACCTTTTAGGTGTTTGAAAACGATTTTTTTGATCATATTCTGATATAAAATTTAAAGTTCTACCAAAAGTGTAACACCCTGTATTCCTGAATATTTTGTATAAAATGTGAAATAAATAAAACAATGTAGTGTTAGTGGAAGTATATTTTATTCCTTTTTTTAAGTATTCCAACAATTTCAACTACAAATTTGCCAATGTTTAGTTTCCTATGCAGAAAATTTCTCACATAAAGTTTAATGTGGTATGCAACCAGTAATACAAAAATTAAAGGCGGAGCCTCTGAAGGAAACCTTTTCTATATTTAATTTTATATTATTCAAAAATTTAGTACCACATGTAAATTTAGTATTGATCAACGATATTTCTGTTGACTCTAGCATTTCGACCTCGTTTCAAAAATTAAAACCCAAATATTTCGAAAACTATGAGAGTTATGGAGGAACAGAATAGGGCATTCGATAGGGAATTCAATCCTCTATAAGGGTGCAAAATAAGGGCGCAATCGGAGCAAATAAAATTTTGAGACGAAAAATAAAGGAAGGATATAGCCTTGGAAAAATTTTTTCGTAAAAAATAAACTATGCTCCATCGGCACCAAATGTTGTGTACATATAGAGCATTGAATTCTCTATCGAACGGTCAAAAGGGCATTTCTCTATCTTAATTAGTTTAGCTGTAATTAACGTCTTTCAAAAAAAATCTAACTGTTCTAACTCGTTGGTCAAGTACTCTAATTAATAATCAAATCGAATTTGTTTTGACTACCTTTTGTTCAAAATCCATGAAAAGATTTTCAAATTTAAACAAAAATTGCACGAACATTTTTAAATCTGGTCAAGATAATCGCTTTCTATGAGGAGCACATAAAAATGAAGAGTAAATTTAGTACCACTTGTAAATTTAGTATTGGTCAACACACTTTTCTATTGACTCTAGCATTTCGAACTCGTTTCAAAAATTAAAACCCAAATATTTCGAAAACTATGAGAGTTATCGAGGAACAGAATAGGGCATTCGATAGGGAATTCAATCCTCTATAAGGGTGCAAAATAAGGGCGCAATCGAAACAAAAAAATATTTGTAGTGAAAAATTTTCCAAGGGTATAGCCTTTGAAAATTTTTGGCGTGAAAAATAAACTATGCCCTATCGACATCAAATTTTGTGTACGGATAGAGCATTAAATTCTCTATCGAATGGTCAAAAGGGCACTTCTCTATCTTAATTAGTTTGGCTCTAATTAACGTTTTTCAAAAAAAATCTAACTGTTCTAACTCGTTGGTCTAGAACTCTAATTAATCACCAAGTCGAATTTGTTTTTGCTATCTTTGGTCCGAAATCCATAAAAAGATTTTCAACTTTAAACAAAAATTGCACGAACATTTTTAAATCTTCGAAGGCAAGGACATTTAATACCATAATATGTAAATTTATTATTGTTCGTTTCAAAAATTAAAACCAAAATTTGATTTTCTCAAAATCGTTTTGTCTGAAGAAATTTTTTTAAATTTCAAAATTTTTTAATAAATATTATATATTATATATTATTAAATTTTTATAATAAAAATAATTAAAATATATTATGATAGAAATAATTTGAAAGGTCTGTCCCTAAAGTTACTAAAATAATAGTCTGTGATTATAAAATCAAATAAAACACTTGAACTAAACGACAAATTGTTTATTAAAATCAATAAGTAAAACAGAAACATTGATACATAGTACTTGCAATTTTAGTTAATTATATACAATTAATCTGTTTTGTTTTTATACTCCTAACAAAGGAGTGAAACGAAAAAAACGTTTTTTTCTCTTTTTTTTTCGTGATGTTGGTAGAGGTGTTTTTTGTATACGTCGATTATATTTAACATTTAATTTGTCCCAAGTGGAACATTTTCTCTTAAGTTTAATTTCGAAAATTGTTTACAATTGTTTACAATTCGTGACAATGTAACGTTTAAATCAAAGAACACACACAGCATCGTGATTTTTATTTTTTTTATACACTTAGTGAATTATATCTAACATTTAGTCCTGATTATAGTACATTTAAGTTACAGTAACAACCCTTGCAACCCATACGTTTTTTTTGTCTGGCATTGCCCTAAAAGTAATATAACGTCCTGTATATTAAGTTTGAAAAAACAACAAGCAATTGTTACTGAAACTTAAAAAATACTGTGATTTTGTTATAAGCATATCTTCTATTACAATAAGAACAAAAATATGTTTTTTTTAGAATCATGATGCTTATAAGGTAGCTGAGATAGCACTGCATAACATGTACTATATTTTTAATTTAAAAAACCTAACCATTTTCACAATTCAGTATAAAAAATTCCGTCTTTCTTTCATTTTACAACCTATAGCTCTTTTTCTAAAATCTGTATGCACAGTATGTTTTCTTACACTGTATATAATACACTCACCGATACGAAAAAAGGGCACCTTAAAATTTTGATGTATTTTATGTAAGTTTAATAAATCTGGTTTTACTGAGCCGATTTTGATGAATTTTTAAGCAATACGTCCCTAAATTATTTGACTTTTTAGTACCTCTTTATAAATTAAAAATAAAAGTTCCCAATTGTTATATATACGAGGGAAAACAAAATGTTGATATTCTAAACTTTCATCAAAATAACACTTTGTGTTACCTCGTATAATCGACAGATGGAAACTTTCATTTTTAATTTTGAAACAGATACTAAAAAGTCAAATAATTTAGCATCAAAATCGCAGTATATACAACTTTAAAATACAATACCTAATCAAAACTTTAAGGTGCCCGTTTTTCATGACGGTGAGTGTATGTTTTAAAATAATTTTGACATATATGATCAAACCTTACATTTTAGAGTGATCACTTACCCAGACTGTTTTTTTTTCATAATATAATAATAAACAAGATAAAATTATGTACACGCTATATCAGTGAATTTATAGTGAAATAAAAAAGTGATTTAAAATCACACCAATGGATCACTATATTCCTAAAAATTTCCTATCATATCACACCTTGTTAAAATTACTTTAATAAATTTTTCGATTTAGTGTGATTTTAAACACTATCACTAATATACAGGGTGCTCAAAAAAAGTGATGTTTAAAAAAAATCAACGTCAACATTATCAATTACAGTATTTTTTGTGTATATAATAAACTAACAGTTCATTGTTTATAATATCTCCAGTAATATAAATCGCCATACAGAACTATTTTATAATAATTATTACATAGAAACTGTAATATCTCAGGTACATTTTCTGTATTTTGAAAATATATTAACTCAATGCAAATTAGTTAGTAGGACACAAAAATACTGTTATAGAATAATAAGTTGAGCAAAGAAATATTTCTTTTACCCTACAGGGTGGTCTATTTAGAGGATAAAAGCTTTAAATATATAAAAAAGCACCCTGTAAAAACATCTGATCCGAATTTCCTAGTCTAACAGTTTAATTTTTTAGAACAAAACCATCTATATACCCAGAAATATACACTAGTATTTTTAGTCAAAACATCTACTTATATTTATTTTTATTCAACATTTACGTACAATAAGTTTTGTACTTTTTTCATAAATCCCTGAGGTTGGCTTGTACGCAATTTTTTTTTTATTATATAAACATCTAGGTAAGTTTTTTATAAATATTTTTTTTCCCGAAAAACCTATCATTAAACACTGAGCTGTATGTATGTATATCGATTTTTATATTCTTTAAATATAATTTTGAGGTAGATTTTGTATTTGTACTGTGACGTATTCTCAACAGTTAACTGACGCACACAGAAAGGGAACAGGCAACAATAATTAAAGGTAATTCGAGTGCCATACTATTTACATTGTAAAGGAAACACCCTGTATATAATAACACCTTTACACTGTATATAATAAAATCTTCGTTACTCCATTAACAAATAATATAAAGATAGTCGTATCTACAGGGTGTCCCCGTTGTTTTGTGTGAGTCTTACATTAAGTTTTAAATTTATTTAATAGATTATATAACAATCGCACACAGTTTTAAAGGTAATTTTTTTTCAAATATTATAACAGCACGTTAGATGAACACTATAAATATTATAATAGTTATATGTCCCTGAACAATTACCTGAGGATAGTTTATAATATTGCAATTTGCCTTGTTAAAACTATATGTATATATAAGAATTGGTAAATAGTAGACAGTATAGTAGCAGTAATGTATTATTGCAAGTAGGCACAATTTTACAAGATGTTTTACACATTTTGTTATATTTTTTCTGTCAAAAACAGACCAAGCAAGAAGTCATATATGTATTTGATTAAATAATAGTATATTCTTTTATTAGGAGTAAAAAATGACACTATTCATGGTGAACTTGTACGTTTGACATACAGGACAACCACAAAAAGTCATTTTTACTCCGAATAGAATATACTATTTTTTTTTCAAACGCCACAAATAATTTTTTAAACGATTTCAAACGTTCCAAATAATATAAAAATATTTAAAAGTAATACCTTGTATGTAATTCTAATAATATATCGAGAAACTATGGTTACGCTCATTGAATTTGACACTTTGTGTCAGTTTAATCATAGTTTAATAATATATTTCTGTACTTTTGTGGCTTAAGCGTAAAAGTGCTTTACTTTTATACCCAGGCGTTAAAATGACTTTTTTATATTGTCAACCACGTCGCAAAAATTAATATAGTCTATAAAACGAATAACTTTATATAAAATATATAATCCCTCTGTCAAAAAAGTAACTGATATTATTTAAATTGAGTGCCTGAACGAATCAGATAGGTAACTCTTTTTACTTTCGTGAAATAGAAAAGGAAAATAATAAAACAAGTGACAGTTCTTCGTCTTCTTGCAAAAATCAACACGAAATGTCATAAATGTTAAAAGTAAAATGTCATCAGCTTTTGACATTTCTAAAAATCAGACCAATGCCGTCTCTAATAGAACAGCCTCAATCGAAATTTATGACGTCACGCTAGTTAGATACTACGGATTAATAAATATGTTGTAGAATACAGACATCGAAAACATAATAATTATTCCTCGTATATTTGGTTTGTATTTTAAAAATGATATAGTTTACATGACTTTAAAAATATTTTTTTTACTATTAGTAGATATTGAATGGTTTTTTGTTAAATTAGATCGATTTTCAAACCCCAAAATTTAAAATATATTTTACATTTTACCCATTATTTTATGTACCTATTCATTACTTGTATATTGTAAAATATTTGTTGCATTTGTATGGTTCATAGTTTATTTGCCAAAGTATTTATTACTGTTAATTATATATTGTCTTTATTAACTGTATATTATGTATATTTCATGTAAACTATATCATTTTTAAAATACAAACCAAAAATACGAGGAATAATTATGTTTTCCATGTATTCTACAACATATTTATTAATCCGTAGTATCTAACTAGCGTGACGTCATAAATCTCGCTTCGAGGCTGTTCTATTAGAGACGGCATTGCGTCAGCATGGCCGCAAGTTGCTAACCTAATAAAATTATCACTAGAAAAGCCCGCGTGAACTGTCAAATTCAAAGTTATTCGTTTCACAGACTATACTTTTGTGCCATATGAAAAAAAAATTTCTTTGACTTTTCTATCATTGAAGTTTAAATTTTTAATTTTATATATAAAAAGTATATAAATCTGTAAAGACATTGTAGTAGGAATTTATTTAAAATACACTCCTTATTTAGTTTTTATGAAGAAAATTAAATCATATTAGACTCTTATTTTAAACAAGATTTTAAATAACAACAACAACAATATTAAAGTAAAAATCAAATTAAATGTAAAACACATGTAAAATTAAGGTTGTTTGCAATCATACATTTTTTACCAGTATTTTAAGATATTTTCTTTGCTATAAACGAAAAAAATATTGTATAACTCCCTGAGATTCCGTTTTTTAGCAAATACTCAGGGATAATATACCTGAATTCAAATATTTTGCAGCAGATTTCAGAAATATTTTCCCTGCAATATTCAAATGAAAAAAGTCTCAAAATACCAGTAATTTTATGCCTTTTATATTTTAACATTATATACGATATAATATATGAACGATTAGACAAAAATTTTATATCTAGAAGTATTCCTTTTACAAAGTTCTGTGCCGTTTTTTTTCTAAGTAATAAGAAAAACAAAACCTAAAAAATCATCTGGTAAAAAACGTATACAAAATATATAGAAATCTTTTTACATTTTTTTTTCTTTAAACATTGCATTGCCACCCTTATTTTACCTAAATCCTGATCAATCAACTTTTTTTATAAATGAAAACAAACAATTATAACAGAGGTCAATTTTGTTTTAGAGTTTTTTTCAAACATTTCAAATTTCCTTCACCTTTAAACCATTTTTTTGTACATATCGTTAACAAAAAAAAATAAACATACGACCGAAATGAAATTTTACATCCGATTTTTTTCGGCTAAACAAAAAAAAAATAAGCGCACCTAAGAAGAACTTATCGAACTAAAAAAAAACTTTGTAATTCTATGAAACTATTTAGATATTATACAGCGAACCCTGAATGTATTGATAGTATATAAAACTAAGAACTATAAAATTCTTCAAAGATACCCGTAATGTTCACACGTGATCAACTCTCGAATCGTCAAGCTCGCCGGTTCATCCCACAGCGCAGAACAAGAATATCACTCAGAAAAATAAATAAATAACATATTAGATCTTGGTTCTGTACTCTGGGTTGAACCTTGATCTGCATTCACACTTTCTAGAAACTATAATTTATCAAATAAACCGTTTAATCCTGTTTTTTTAAAAATAGTTCAGGTAAAAAATTAAGACAGATCTTGGTTTGTGGTTGTGATGTGTGGCATCTTATTTTGAAAAGAAACAATAATTTTATTTAATTTATAGTATTTAATTTAATACAAACTATAATATAATATGAAGTGAAAAAAATCTTGATAGACTTGTGTGTGTTTCAAAATACCCTACAAGTTAAAACCTTTGCATTTATTTGAGAAGGACCCTGTATAATTTAGAATACCTTCCAAAATGCTTCGTTGATGTTTTGAACTAATTATTTTTTATTTTGCATCATTTATAATTGTTATTTTCAATGACTTAGTGATAGATATGGTAAAACTCATGATCATCTATTTTTTTTTCAATAATTGTTTAAATGATTACTAAAATTTCACAGTTATTGTTTGAAATGGCATACCCGAGGGCATACGAATGACAGAGGACTGTCAGTGGTATGCATTAGCTGTCAAACAATGTCATTTAATGAGAATTAATCAAATGTCTGTGTGGTCTACAGTTGTTTATAATTTTTAAATTTGTCATAACTTTGAATGGTATGATCTACACTTTATTTTTCGAAATAATATTAAACCTAAAAAATATCTTTTTATTTTCAAACATACCAGAGGGCATACCAGTGACACAAGACTTTCATTGGTGTCCATTAGCTGTCAAACGATGCCATTTTATGACAGTTCATCAAATGTCTGAAGCAAGTAATTTGATATTTATCATAACCTTAGATGTTATGATATACACTTTATTTCTTGAAATGCCAAACAATTTTTTTCTTTTCAAATAAGATCCCACACTGTAGCATATATTTCTCTATATTTTACAGTTAAAAACTATTGCAAAAAATATTATTAGAGGTAGTAGGTAGTATATTACATCAACTTCTTGAGCTATTGTAGATGTGATTGTTGTTTAACTATTGTATATTAATATAAATATAATATTATACTCAATAAAATTGAATATTTTCTTCGTAACATATTCTAATATTAACTAATAACTAACATCCTAACCTAATACGACTAAAACTAAAAAATATAATAATAAGTTTGTCATGTAAAAATGAGGTAGCTAAGTTTCAGTTTTTTTTATCCCAGAGTTAATTGTAGCGGATAAAGTTGACAGGAGCCTGCGCCGCCTTTTGTCTATCTACACAAAATATATTTCTCTGAACGACGCGGACAGCCTGCGTCTTTTATTTATAATATACAGGAGACGTAACAATACTGTAGAACATTTGTAATAATATATAATATGCTGTTGCAGAAAGATATTTGACTAGTAAAAAATTAAACGAAATGCTTAGAAAACTATATATAATATGTAACTATTTTTGGTTTCGAAGTTTCTCTATAACTTACATGGCAAATAATAATAATATATAAATTTGTATGTATATATTATATTATATTAAAAAATGGAATTATTGTGAATTCTTTTCCTTTTTTATAAGCATTAACCGAATCCAATCACAATCAGGGTTCCTAATTTTACTGGATTGTCTCCTAATCCAGTTCAAAATAAAACGTTTTTTCTTCTGTAATCGTTGAGCCAATACGACTTTTTAATAGTGTATATATATAAATATTTACATTGTTTTCAAACTAATAATATACCAATCTATTCAAATGAAAAAATAAAAAATGGACTTCTCAAAATAAAAACTTAAAATCAATGAAGGTACGTTGTTGTCAAAGATTGACAAGAAAATATTCAATATTCGGGTTATCGATAATAATATACACTATTAAGTAAATTTAGCAGGTAACAGTGAATTTAATTCACATTATGTGTTGACGTATAAATACGAAAAAAAAAATTCAAAATTAACAATTTTTTTAGGGTTTGAAACCCTTATAACTATAAAAAGCCAATAAAAATATTGTTTTATGTTGCACTACTGACTAGCGGACAAAAAAAGGAAGTTTTCTTAATATATTTTATAAATATAGTGAGGCAGATTGATTACTGTTGAGGTAGAATTATTTTTCAATCGTTTTTGAAACGATTCAAAAAATATTAGTTATTATATAAACCTGAGGTTTCCATTTTTTAAAATTAGAAAAGAACTAGAAACAAATCGAGCAGCCAAGAAATTTTAGCGAGTTTTTCACAAAATTTTCCTTCTTTCAAAAAACTTTTTACCAAAATTCTATTCTTATCCTAAACTTTACCGTCAATCAAAAAATAAATTCATTTTCCTAAATTTAGATTTTTTAGGTAAGTACTTACAACGGAAATAATTTTTGTAAAACTGTAACAAATTAATAAAATCTTGAAAAATAATCAAAACATGTTTTTGAATTATAGTAAAATCTGATTTTTAAGTCCAGTACAAGTAACTATATGTAAATATAATTTTTAAAAAAATCTTGAATTTATTATACAGGGTGTTTCAAAACAAATGCGAAAAACTTCAGAGGGTGATTCCTTGTTCAAAATAAAGGGTAGTTTGCTTCATAAACGTTGGGTCAAAAGTCAACCATTAGGGAGATATCGCGGTACAAAGATGGCGGAAAAATAATGTTTTTATTTTTTATCTTGAAAACGAAAAGAGATAGCCTAATAAAATTTTATGGAAATATTACTGTTATGAAAACACACTTTCTGGTAATTTTTTCACTTTTTTAAAACGAGTGGAAGGGGTTGAAATAAACTACCCCTATCATTCTTGTTAACGAAATTTAAAGAAAAATCTTATCAAACACATGCAAAAAAATTAATTTGGATAGCCTAGTTTGTTTAGAAACTTTTTTATCTCTTGTATTTTTTTGATAAAACTCACCGATTTGAAATTAAAAAATAAAATGTAAAGCATTACATGTCAGGACAAAAAACATTTTCTGATAAAGAATCTAGTGGGCTGTTGTAATTTTTTTAGGAAAAAATCTAGACGGCCGCTGTTACTTTTTAGGATGTTCCTAATATTATGTTATTTGACATTACTCTACTGCAATACGTTATTATCTAGATGATTATTATTATCGTTATTATCACTAGATTTTTATTCTAAAAATGTTTTTTGTCCTGACATGTAATGCTTTACAGACACAATAGTGATAATGCCCTAATTAAATTCAAATTATTAATTGTCGTTACTGAAAATAATTGAGAAAAAAATGTACGTTTTTAAAAAAAAATGTGTTAGTTACTTGGACTGTACTTTGACTCTTGATTTGGATCAAACTAAACAAATTTTTAGAGAAATCAATAAAAAATAATTTTGAAAATCAAATTGACAAAAAACAACGAAAATAAATGAAAAAAAAAAATAGAACAAACAATCAACAAAATAGAATTTAACACATTCCTAAACTCCCGTACCTTAATAGTACCCACCCACTCTTTAAAGCATATATAATATTTACATCATAACTGCCGGCAGGTACTTATTTATCCCTAGTACCACCAGCGTACTTAGGGATTGAGTACTTGTTGCTGCTGCACTTGCTGCTGCTGGTTCTGGAACGCCTTGAGGCTGAGTTCCGTCTTGTGCTCGCGCGCTATATGCCTCCTCACCGTGTTGTTCCTGGTGAAGGTACGCGAACAGAAGGGACAGGGTACTCTGATGCCTTGGTGTCTTTGCCGTATGTGGGCGCGTAGGTTTGTCTCGTAGCCGTAGAGTCTTTCGCAAAAAGGGCACTTCAGTTTCTTTCCTGAACAAGAGAAAAATCAATAGATTAGTACCAAAGCGATGTTAATGTTAATTACAAAGGGCAAATATTAAAAAAAAAAGTTTACGCACTATGTGAATTAATAATTTAATAATTTGAATTTTCTCACGAACTTCGTAAACATCCATTATTTTACTTAAAAAATAAATTTTACACGAGTTGTCGCGAGACTCTATGTATTCGTTTTGGCTATTACAACACGAATAAATACAAATTCTGAAACTTTCTTATCACATATCTACCTATTTTTATTTTATTGCATTTTTTCGCTTGATTTTTAACCGGCGGACGGGTATACGCTAATTCGTCCGGTTCTGCCTATGTTACTACTACAGTGGTCCGGTCTGTATATCTATACTAATATATAAAATCCTTGCCTTCAGTGACTGACATACTGATTAATCACGATCCTGCTCAAACCACTCAACGTAAGAAGCTCAAGAAATAAATCATATTTACATTTATTGGATGTTGCAATTTCTCTGTCACAGTATAATGTTCAGCTGATAATAATAAAAGGATTTGTACTGAAGCTGTGGTTGGTTCCTTGTGAAACATCGTTGAAATATTAGTATTTTAATAAAGCACGCTTTTAGATGTTTCAAAAAACTTTTAATAAGAGTAACTTTAACTCTACATATATGTTTCGGCTTGTTAGGCCTTTTTCAAGAGTTTTTTAAGAACTAATCGTCTAACTACACTGTAACTATATATATATTTACTATGGGGTGGGTTCAGAGAGTTTACAATAGGGGTAATAAAAAATGTGTTTAGAAATCCTTGTTGGTCGTTACATTATTTTCGTTTTTAACAGATTTTAGTATTTCTAACTGTTCAATGTAATTTAAACGTCTACCTTTTGTTTCTCTGTGTAGTAACTTAATTGAGTTTTCATTAATTTTGTGATTATTTACTATACAATGAGTTGCAAGACCAGAACTATGCTGGAGATTATTAATATACTTTACATGTTCTTTAATCCTTATATCTAAATTTCTACCTGTTTGGCCTATGTACACGGCATCACAGTATTGCAATCCACCCTATATACACCCGACTTATTTTTGACATTAGTTTTGTCTTTATTATTTAATAAAATTTGACCTAAATTTCTTTTATTTACGTTAATAGTTTTACATCCTATTTTATTGAGATTATTTGATATTTTGTTAGTTAAATTAGGAATGTAGTTTAAAGGTTGATAATTGTTATTGTCTTTAGAATTAGCGGATTAAAAATTTTTCATTAATATTTTGTTTTGTTTTTTCTTTAGCATATTATCAATAAGGGAACACTTATATCCATTGTTGATGGCGATCTGTTTAATAATATTTAACTCTTTTTTAAAATTCTCTGGGCTCAGTGGAAACATTACTAATCTATGAATTAAACTATGAAAGGGTGACATTTTGATTTGCCAGGATTGGTGTGATTGACTATGTATTACAGTGTCTGTGGTAGTGGGTTTTCTGTAAATATCAAATTGTAATCTATTAGACTGTTTTATAATTGTAACATCAAGAAAATTGATGGTATTAATACCTTTTTCAATAGTAAATTGTATTCTCGGGTTAATTGAATTTAATAATGTTAACGTAAATAAAAGAAATTTAGGTCAAATTTTATTAAATAATAAAGACAAAACTAATGTCAAAAATAAGTCGGGTGTATATAGGGTGGATTGCAATGATTGTGATGCCGTGTACATAGGCCAAACAGGTAGAAATTTAGATATAAGGATTAAAGAACATGTAAAGTCTATTAATAATCTCCAGCATAGTTCTGGTCTTGCAACTCATTGTATAGTAAATAATCACAAAATTAATGAAAACTCAATTAAGTTACTACACAGAGAAACAAAAGGTAGACGCTTAAATTACATTGAACAGTTAGAAATACTAAAATCTGTTAAAAACGAAAATAATGTTAATGACCAACAAGGATTTCTAAACACATTTTTTATTACCCCTATTGTAAACTCTCTGAACCCACCCCCATAGTAAATATATATATAGTTACAGTGTAGTTAGACGATTAGTTCTTAATAAACTCTTGAAAAAGGCCTAACAAGCCGAAACATATATGTAGAGTTAAAGTTACTCTTATTAAAAGTTTTTTGAAACATCTAAAAGCGTGCTTTATTAAAATACTAATAAAAGGATTTGTTACTGAGGAATTTGTGTTTACAATAGGTCTCTTTGCTTACATAGTAGAGAATCTCCATCAAAAACACATTCATAGTAAAAATAAAGAAAACACACACGCACAATAGTGCTGACAGTAATACTGACCGTCTGGCGTGTTGACCGTGGGCTGCTTGTGATGGCTGAGCTTGCCCGTGACCGAGTTCCACAGCGTGGTAGGGATTAGGTCCGTCTTGTCCCGGTCGTACTCGAACTTATTGACCGAGGGGGCTATGGTACCGTTTGGTGAGCTCCCGGTATGGTGCATGGGACTAGGTACAGGCGGGTGGCTTCCTGGGCCCGCCGTGCTTGAGGGAGGTTCGTCTTGTTCCATTTTTATTCGCAAATCTGGAAGAAAAAATGTCAGGAATAAAATACGTCTTTAAAATTATCATTTATTTTAAAATTCAATATATTATTTTGTTCTAGTGGGTTAATTTTGATGATTTTTAAGAAATGTGTAGCTAAATTATAGATTTGAAGCTAAGAAACAACGGCGAAGGCAGATTCTGTAGGGAAAATGGAGAGACACCAGCGTCCGTTATCCGTTGATACGATGATGGTCCGACGGTGCTCTGATTGGTCATAGCGTTTTCGCGCCACTTTTCAACCGTAAATTTTCCACTTCGGCCCGTCAACGGAGAAAGACCGTATGATAACGGACGTTTTGACACTTTTTTGACAAATTAATTCGCAAAACATCCCCCGTTAGAACTTTTTCTTTAATAGCCATAAACGGGAGTAAAAGACTAACAGGGCGAACAAACTACTAGAGGCGCTTTATTTACTTTGATTCCTAATCATGACATATGAAGTTTTAAAGGGAGATGTTTGTGATTTAATCTAACCTTAATAAAAGTAGAATAGTACAAGAGCTAGCACCGTCGGGAAAACGAGAATTTTAAGAAAGCTGCTCTTTAATATATCTCTTGCTATGCTCTTCTATGCTCTCCTGACCAAAGTGGTAGACTACTGCGGTTCACTACTGCGCATAACATCTGTACAGGGTATCCTCTTTTCGTGTGTTTTATGCGATTTCTCATTTATGAGTAGAGATACAATGATGCAATTTTCACATTACTTTGCTATTTTTTATGAAACTAAATATGCTACACATATGTTTTTCCTAACCTCTTTAGTTCCTGAAATACATGGCGTAATTGTAATGCGCAGTAGTGGAACAGATGTTGAATACAGATATGATGCGCAGTAGTGAACGCAACGTCTACCGGCAGCCAGACCGTCCGCACCCTGTTCAGGAGAGCAGCTTCCTTAAAATTCTCTCTTGAAAACGTTACTATCTCTTAGACTATAAGTAAAACGACAAACTCGTTATGGGAATAAAAATATAAAATGACAACAATCACAAGCAAATCGTATATCCGATAAACGGAGGCATGAAAATGCTATAAATTTAAAAACTGCGTAATTTTCTACTCAACCGAAGTCTTTCAATTTAACCAATAAAATTAATATCGTATCATCGTATCGTCGGACAACGGATGATCAAGAAAGGAGGACAGAATAGATCAAACTAGATAGAATACAATTTACAATCAAATTATTCTTCTAACAAGAAAATGTACCTTCTGGGCATCCTGGGTCCTGGCATCGGTCAGCATTGGTCGTTTCCGGGCATATAAGGGCCGTAGCCCTATCCGTGGCTTCGTACCGCTGATCAGGTGGTGGGGCGTCGGCTTCGTTGTGGGCAGGGGGCGCTGGACAGGACGAGCTGGACGTCGGTCGGTAGGCCAGCGAGAGAGGCGTGGGGGAACCTGTTCGTTTGCTTCCGTCCCGCAGGACAGAGGCTCGGTTTTCCTGCACCAGGTCGTTGGGAGACCTGCAAAAAAAAGATAACAAATTAATATAAACTTGATTATTATAATATATAATATAATATTAATATAAAAATTAAAATTAATAATTTGACAAAATGTGACAAAATCTATCAAAATTATTAAAGATCTATCAAAATTCTCGATTTAATCTGGCAAAATAGGTTCATAAATTGTGCAACAACACTTCCTTGAAATGCTAATCCCGCCTCATTACGTGTCATTATATTATTAAGATCTCGTGCATTATCATCTGTTCGCATCGTGCATGAGAAACAATGACATCTCGAAAATTTTATTGTTTTGATAACATAAACACATCAATCAGAGTAAAGTAAGTAATTGAGTTTACGATGTATTTGTCAAGTATGTCGATAATATTTAGACTTCCTTGTAGATAATATAAATTTATTCATAATAAAATAAAAAGCATTATTTTATTAAGAGAAATCATATGTAGGCAAATTATGAGTAATGGCAGTATGTATACATACATACTGCCATTACTCATAATTTGCCTATATCATAATTGGAAATGGTTGAATGAGCTAGAGATGATAAAATGACAGCGATCTTCATTTCATAGCCATCGCTGACGCCGTTTTTTTTTCGATCATATTGTAGTTTTAAGTACTATTCAAATCAAAATAAATATATTATTAGATTATTTTCTAACCCTTCGTCTATTATTTTTAGAAGATCCTCTCCAAAAATATATCTTATAATACTTCGCCTAACTTAAATCAAGGTTCACATACTTAAATTTAGCGTACCTATCTGTCTATACTATAAATTGGCTCGAAAACTAATAAAAATAATTAACTATATTTTATATTCCAATCTTGTTTCCCGATAAGATATGGCATCAAGCTATTTAGAAACAGTAAGTACCGCTATTGTCCTGTCAAATTTCAAATGCTCTCTAAATTCACCGATGATTAAAAAGAAGGCAGAAATATATACAGGGTGGACAAATTTGAAAAGCTAGCATATAATTTCTGTTTATATTTATCCAATGAGACAACAAGAAAATATACGCCAGCGACAGTTGTTCTTTGACATATAAATTCAAAAGTAGATTGTTATTTCTGCCATTTTTTGGGTTGCAAAATAAAAAATTGTATACATAGGTATGTATTTAGTAATCCACATTATTTATTTCTGTTTTGAGAGTATTTTTTGATGTATACCATTATAAAATTTCTAGGAACTGTGCTTAATTAATAATTAAATATTAATATACAGGGCGTGAATAAATATATATATGTAAAAAAATCAGAAAGTAATCGAATTTGTGTTTTTTTTTTGTATAAATTGTTTTTAAAAGAAGTTCATAGTATTGTAAAATTTTTAATGGGTATTAAAAAGTGTACCTTGGATGTTTCATTTCGTATTGTGAATTTGTAGAGGACAATCTGTCGTAGGGCCTGTAGTGGTGATGCATGTAAGGAGACATTTTCGGTGAATAGCTTGGCGATGGGCTAGATTGCTGTTGTTGGTTTGTCGGTTGGTTGTTTTCAGCTTCTTCTTTCAATATCTACGAGAAAAAACAACAATATTTAATAAATTCTAAAGTTCAATTAGTCGCAATTATTAATATCCAAATTTATTTATTTATTTCCCAAGAGTTGGATAAGTTTTTATAAATTTTTAAACCCTACACTGAAAAGAAAATTGATATATTATAGTATTTTTAATAAGAAACTTGTAAAAATAAGATATTTGTACATAGTTTCATAAAAAGATGTAATTTTGCAAAACAGTTTATTAATATTAAATGATTATTACAAAACGATATTATTTTCGCAATGAGTTTTGTGTATCAACATATCTCAAATAATATTTATTTTTTCAAACTGTGTTTCGGAAGACAAATTTAATAGAGATCCGGAGTAGAGGACTCTATACATTCATAGTTTCCAACTTGGTAAGTTGACTTTTTTGATTAGACACCTTATTCTTGCATGTTTTTTTTATTTTGTATCTAATGGCAATTTTGTTCCTATTTTGGTTATATAGGCTCAGAATTCCAGTAAGGTTCTTCTAGATAAGAAGAGATGGCAATGTTTCTGTTTTGTGACTTTTTATTGACCTTTATAATAAATATTATAAATATAAACACGTGTTTTATTAAATTTATTAATATTTACTAATGCTTTGTGAATTTACAAAAGTAATTGTAAATTCACTATAATAAAATGTTTTAATTTGTTCTTACTTTATAGTAATATTACAAGAAGTTGATGATTTTAAAAGATAAATTTACAATGAATAAGTAAATTTACTATGAGATACACATTTTTTACATTCATTCATAAAAAATATTGGTTAATATAAGATATATTATAACATATTTACATACGTGCCAGAAAAAATGAATTGTAAAACTTAAGAACGGATGGTAAATTTACTACAATAATCTGTGGCAAGATAACCATCAATATTGTTATTAAATTCACAAATTAATTTTTTCTATCCCACTTCTGAACATAAAAGAAAAGAGGAAAAACAATGCCGCATGGCGTAGAAGGGATTTTTAGCCGGTAGTAATCCGTTACTACACAACTTTGAGTGTCTTAAGCAAGATTCTTTCCCTCACCATCAAAAAAACGTGTCCTTACCTTAAAACGTTTTCTCGTAGGCGAGTCCAGACCACGCATAGGAGGGCTATGGGCGATATCCTGCCTTTGCTGCGACTGGTGACTTAAAGCCACAGCCACCTTCTCGTGTTCCACGCTCAATCCCTTGACCTGCAGGCACTCCCCAGCTTGCAGGAAACTGGACAAGGCGTCCTGGGAGACGTGCACCTCGCCCTTGTACATGAACTCGAGCAGGGCGGCCATGTTGGCGGCCGAAGTGCCGTCCAGGATGACCAGGAGGTTCTGATGGAGGGGCGCGGTCTCGAACAGGTCTGCCAGGTGTTTGCTGCAAGCTGCCAGGATTAGTTTGTGAGCTTTGAAGGTCACCCCTGAAAGGCAAAAAAGAAGGTTCATAAGTCAATGAGTCAACATCTTGGCATTATCTTTTGAATATTATAGTATGATTGTTGAGACTTTTGATTTAATACTGAACAGAGAATTAAACATTGTATACACTATTATAAGCAGCTGATATAATCCTTTTTGATTGATTATTTAGAAAAAAATATGTCTTTCTATTTATATCTTTTACACGCCATAACGCTTTAAGGTTGATTCTCACTATACCTTCCGTTTCCATTCCATATCCATTCCATAAGTCACACATTCATAAGTTACAATTCCTATTATACAGGTAACAATAAAATTTATTTTAACAAGCATTTCCTGTTTTCCTTGATATCAAAGTTTTTCGTTCGATTTTACAGTTATCCAATTTAAAAAAAGACGACTTGCACTGTAAGGTGAATTAATAAAATTAATTTTCCGCTAAAGCAATTCCATTAAATGATTTCTAGCTAAACTAAGCTATCTATTCCCCGCCTCGGTCGACTAAAATAACCAAACTGGAAGTTAAATAGCCGAGAAATTACCGAAAAAGAAATTATTCCAAACAATGTAATTGAAGTCGATGTCTTTTTTCCTTCCATTCCATTGCACGCTACACGGCAAAATGTAAATGAAGTTTGAATGAAACGCAGCAGTATTTCGGTCGGGGTATACTCGTTGCATATTTCAATTTGAAATAAAACATGTTACACAGGGTGGTCCGAACTTTTTTCCAGAAAGTTCGGCAGCGTATTCTGCAGATAAAAATAAGTAAAAACGGTTCCTATAAATGTATGTCCTAAAATGCTTATATAGTTTTGGAGATACAGGGTGTAGAAGTATTCATTTTTATTTCGATTTTTTCTAAATAAGTTATTGATGAAGACTGGTGTTTGGGAGTTTTTTGACATGAAAAATTTAACCTAACCTAACTACTTGTAGAGGGCGCCACCTACATATTTTTTAACGGGTTAGTTAGTAATAACTCTTTATCCGAACCTGTATAAAACTACCGAGTAAAAAAATATACATTTACGATGTTTTTCACGTAAAAAAGGTCTCTTGGTAAAAATCGCTATTTTTAAAATTAAAAATTTAGTCAAAAAAAGTAATAAAATAATATAATGTAATAAAATTTATTATAACTACTCAACCTCAACGTGTTTATTGTCCATAATGACATGTATTGACTAATTCCATTCTAAATATCTTGAGAACGGTTGCTTGTAGCGATTTTTACTAAGAGACTTACTACGGACAAAAAGTTATTGTTTTTCAAAGCAGTTAAAACACATGTAGGTGGCGCCCCCTACAAATAGGAGTCATAATGACATCAAAATCAAATTTCTCATGTTAAAAAACTCCTAGACACCAATTTTCATCCAAATATTGAAGTTACTTCAAAAATTATTTGAAAAAAAAAATCGAAATAAAAATGAAATTTCTGTGCACCCTGTATCTCCGAAACTAAGCATTTTAAGACATCTATTTACAAACTTTTTTACTTATTCTTATCTGCAGAATATGCTGCCGAAGTTTCCGGAATGCAGTTCGGACCACCCTGTATAGTTAGATTTAATTATTTCAGATCAATCTCTATTTATTTATTTACAAATACCAGAATATAAACAGTTATTACATTCCACAACAAGACTCACAATATAATATTTCAGCAGGTTCTATATAGAAAAATCAAAATAAAATAAAGAAAAAAACAAAACAAAATAGACAACACAATTATAAAAAAAACGGACAAGTGCGAATAGGATTTGCCCACCGACAGTTTCATATAAAGACTATCTTTTTTTTGATTTAATTACAAATGCAGTATAGTTTTCAGATTTTTCCCTATACTTGTAGTATAAGACGGTATTACCACAGGTATTACTTGCCAAATTTCATAGTTCTAGGTCACCGGAAAATATCCTAAAAATTTTGACTCCCCTGAGAGTGTCGAAATATAAGATTTTTGCGGCATAATTTTTAAGACAAACATGAAAATAACTCAATAACTATCGATTCTGATTCTAGGAATGCCACATCGCACCATAAATACCCTGTATACGACCTTAGAACTGTCTAATTTCCTCGTTTTGAAAAGAAACACGTGAACTTTTCGTCAAATCTAACGAGAGTTTGACCAACCGTGTCCATCCGAAAAAGAAAACAAAGAACAAAAGTTCGCTGCGAGGTATTATGCATCCAAGCGACGATTCATCTAACGGTACTGCCGGTTGGTGTAATTTCATTCGTTTTTTCGTGCACGAAAATAATCCAGTGCAATGCCAAAATACCGGTACGTCGCAGTTTTCAAAGGAAGATCAACAAGTAATGGTTGGTTGTTTTTTTTGGTTGAAGTGGCGAATACGAACGCTTGTAGAAATCCAATTAGCAGAATTGATGTTTTGGTACTACTCACTCTGATGTCCTATCCGTAGGGAATTAAGCTTTTGACTATTTTGGAGGATATGGTAGATGAGTTCTATTTTTTCAATTTTTACTAGATATGTAAAAATTAAAAAAAAACGATTAAAAAAAGTGGCCTTGACTAGGATTCGAACCTGCCTTACTACGGCTCCAACGTCATAGCAGCGTAAAGTCCTAACGCTTTAATCACGCGGCCACCGAGGACTTGAAAGATTCTATGTAAAATTCTTACTTAAAAGATAATGTTTAGTGAAAGTACTTTTTTATTTATAAATATCTATTTAATTCTGTTTTTAGTATTTGTTCTTATAGCGGTAACATAGATACATTATCTGTAAAAATTTCAACTGTCTAGCTATAACGGTTCATAAGATAGACCTTTGTGACAGACGGACAGCGAAGTCTTAGTAATAGGGTTCCCGTTTTTGCCCTTTGGGTACGGAACCCTAAAAATGATCTGGAATAATAAGAATTAATAAAATCGTTTTATTCTAAGACAACAACTTATTTGTTGACCCTCGTAGATAGGATTTGCTTTTGATAAAATGAAAGTACGCACCGCGATCTCTACAAACCACGACGATTAGATTGTCGGTTGTTGCAACGCTCGTTATGTTGCAATCGGGGCCATTTTTATGACCTGGAAAGCGTTAGAAGCATTTTTGACAAAATACAGTTAGAATAAATGCATTCGGATGTGAAAAAATCCACATTTTTATATAATCTTCTTGATTTTGGTTTATTCAACTTTAAAAATTCTACTCCTAGAGATTTCATAAATGTAAATTTGTACTTTTAATAATCATCATTTTTAGATTTATAAGATTTTTTCCAAACAATTAGAGAAATGGTAACCTCTGAAGTTTAAAAAAATGTTATAAATATAAAAAGTTATGAATATACCAAGTGGTTTGACACTTAAATTTAAGGTTTTCCAAAAATTGGAGTTAATCGAATTATGCAGTGAATGGCTCATATATCAAATTAATATGACAAATGTCTTATGACGTCAATTTAGTCTCTAATGCATCATAATATTGTATGATCGAAAAAAAAACGGCGTCAAAGACGTTATTTAGTAAAAATTGACATAAATCAAAAATTGACACTAATTATAGAAAATTGACACGATTATTAGAAACATTACCATTATTATTAAATGTGTCAAAAAATGCTACTTGGGAAGCGCAATTTAAAAATAGAGAAGAGTACGGGCAAAGTAAATAAGGTCTAGAGCTTGACCACGCCAAAACTATCAGCGATTGTCATTCCTTAGCCTTCTATGACTCCATTTTTTTATCGATCGTATGGTATTATACAGGGTTGTTCACCACATACGACACGGAGTATTGTAGCTAAACGATGAGATTTTTACAAATTGTAAGTTTTGGGTTCGATGAAGGACTATTAGAGGTACAATTTAAAAATATTTTTACAAGATACAGAGTGTCCCAATAAGTAAAAAATATCAAAGTTGTATTTTTTTAAACGGAACACCCTGTATATTATTACATTTTTAGTTTCTACGATTAAAATAAAGGTAAATTTGATTAAGGTTTATTATACTTAAACCTTACCGTTTTTGAAATATTTTCAATTTTGTGAAATTGCAGTAAAAATTTTAAGGCTTCATTTCTCCAAGGGGTATCAAAGTTTTTTAATACTAAATATTTACTGAAGTTTATTTACTGATCAGTTATTGTGTTGCAATAAAAAAATAATATTACCTTATACAGAGTGTCTAAAAATTTATTTTAAATAATTATTAGCTTCAAACGGCAATAACTTGTTTAATTTAAATGGAACACCCTGTATATTTTACGAGAATCAGATGCACAATTTAATTGTCTATCAAATTACATTATACCATTTTTTACCTATCTCTTTAAGTTTCCGTAGAAAATGCATTTTCTTGTAATTTAGAACTTATTTATCAATATACCCATGGACTATTGACATTTTAGATTATTTTTAAAGATGTCCCAAATTTTTAAAGAGTACAGATACTAATATTGTCGATATAATTCGTTTATTTCATTAAAAAATAAAAAAAAACTGTTTAAATATTTGTTAAAGAGGATCAATTAATATGATTCCAGTATTCAAACTACATTAACTGACTGCGTTGATTAATAATAATTGCTCCAAATACTAAAAAACTGAATTTTGTATGGGCATTAGACAGTGTGATAAAAAGTAACACCTTAAAAATGATATTTCATTTTTTAATAAATGCTTATTTATAACAACAGAGACTTTAATTTGATAACTTATTATTATATTGATTTCTGACTCAAATCCACATTTATTTATAATAATTTAATAACGAACACAATTAAGTATGTAATTAATTAGTATATGGGCGCAAATAATGGTGTTATATTTAATTAATGGTATACTCTTTTATAAAGATTTAAATAGTTTTCTTTTTGCATACAAATGGGCTAGTAATATTATCGTTTTGCTAAAAACGATAATATTACTAGTCTGTACATTTTGTACATTTGTTGCTTTAAAAACAATCTAAAATGTCAATATTCCATTGATATATTGATAAATGAGGTCTAAATTATAAGAAAATGCATTTTATACGAAAACTTGAAGGGATAGGTAAAAAATGGTATAATACAATTTGATAGACAATTTAATTGTGCATCTGATTCTCCTAAAATATACAGGGCATTCCATTTAAATTAAAGAAGTTATTGCCGTTTGAAGCTAATAATTATTTAAAATAAATTTTTAGACACTCTGTATAAGGTAGTATTATTTTTATTATTGCAACATAATAACTGATCAATAAATAAACTTCATTAAATATTTAGTATTAAAAACATTGATACCCTTGGAGAAATGAAGCTTTAAAATTTTTACTGCAATTTCACAAAATTGAAAATATTTCAAAAACGGTAAGGTTTAAGTATAATAAACCTCAATCAAATTTACCTTTATTTTAATCGTAGAAACTAAAAATGTAATAATATACAGGGTGTTCCATTTAAAAAAATAAAACTTTAATATTTTTTATTTATTTGGGACACTATGTATCTTGTAAAAATATTTTTAAATTGTAGCTCTAATAGTCCTTCAACGAACCCCAAACTTACAATTTGTAAAAATCTCATCGTTTAGCCACAATACTCCGTGTCGTATGTGGTGAACAACCCTGTATTGTACTTCTTTCTAAGTATTTTTATTTAAAGGAAGAATCACACAAAACCAAATTTTCTATATTCACCGATAATTCAGTTAACAAACCTGTAAACCTAACTCTTTATTTTTAACTCTCTCTTTCTCAATGTTTGCTAGCTCCAACGACAAATCTCGTCGTTCAGTTCCTGTGCAGCGTGCACTTGACCCACTGGCCCACTTTACAATCACACACGGTATGTCGTAAACCGTCTTGGCTGTGCGAGTGTGTGTATGCATCCCGTGTTTATTTTCAGTGCCCACAGATCGGAGACCCAATCGAAAAAGTAGTACGAGCTCTGAGTGTGTGTGCAACGTAATTATGTATACGTGTGTGATGCAACAAAGACTGTACCCTCCACAAAACACATACACAAGAAGAAGTGCGAGCGCCTTGCTAAATATTGGAAAGTGAAATTGACGTTTAAATTTGACACTGTTGACAAGTCTACTGCTACTAGCGCCCCCAATTTCGCTTGTAGGAACTACGGGCTAAATTGTCACGCATGGCGGGAAGTTTAAAAAAACAAAAGAATTTATTTCTTCATTTATTTTTAATTATGACATACACAAAAACACAAAAAATACACCATTTTTTAAAAATATGTTTAATATCAATATCAAATATACAACAGAAATTAATTTCACCACAATAAATTAATAAAATTAAGAGAATAATGTTACAAGTAGATCAAGAGACAAAATTAATTATAACAAAACTGAAAAAAAATGGCGTCATAGATGGCTTAGAAATAAAAGATATATCATAATTTTGAAAGTAAAATTATATGGGAAATGTCTTCGGTCATCATTTTAAGCCAACTGGACGATTATTTCAAACATACAAGCTGAGTTCGTTCATAGTGCCCTGAGAAATCTAGATAAACAAAGAATAATAAATTAAAAGTATTCCAGGGGAAAAGAGAGGAAAAACCTGTATCGTCTCTGATATCTGTCAGGGTATTGTTGAAAGTGTCATCTTTTTGCTCGAAGTTTTCAGGTCGATCAAAAAGATGACATTTACAACAATACTTTGCTGTAACTTTCACAAATATCAGAGAGGGTACATACAGGTATTGCCTCTCTTTTCTATGCTTTATATTTGTTGTTCTATATATATCTGTTGTTCTTTGTTTATTTATATTTCTCAGAGCATAATGCCGAACACAACTACAGTATATAATAATTTCAATATCCAAAGTGGAAAGAAAAAAGATCACCTTTCTGTTTTGTACTATGGTCCCTTTCTTCCGAGGGCTCATCTCGTTGATATTTAGGAAGGATAAATAGGAAGGAAAATATAAAATTCAATTTGATTTGATGATCCTTTTCTGTCACCTAAAATCAGGAGAACGACAATGAGCATGTTAAGATGAAAAAAAAATATCAACACTTACCTACACGTTAGTTCGAGGAGTTTTATTAAAAACCTATATTTGCCTAATTTATGTATTAAATTTGCAAAGCAAAATGTAGCGTGTAAACAAAAGATATAAAATGGCGACAAGTCAACGTCAACGACCCGACAAGGAGAAAAGTGGTGTTCGAACATGATACAAAGAATACAAGGTATGATATTGCGCAGGTTGGTCACTACGTCACAGGTGATAAACGGCACCATTGGTCGGCAAGTTCCGCGCGCCAATTTTAAATTGTCAAACAGATGACACAATAAATGTGAAAATAATTTTTCAAATGTCAAGCTCGATGATTTGACTATGTTTGACATAACTTTTGGGGTTATGTCCTAATTCTTCCCTATTTTATGTCTTTTTTAATTAGTGGCAATTGCACAATATGGATATTTTTGTGGATGGCGTATGACGTCACAGGTGGTATGCGCAAACTTAACGAGATTGGAACCGCTATCGATCATACCTTGTTTTCTTTATACCATGGTGTTCGAATAACAAATTATGGGTCACCAAAAATTGTTTTTGTCTCCTTTCAACGTACACTTTAGAAAGAAAAAGAGATGAACTGGAATACTGAAAGAACGTCAAGGCTTTATCTGTCACTCTTGTCAATAATTTATCGGTAAGGAAGATTCCTAGAAAATCGCTTGTAGTCAAGTTTTCAACCATTGCCAGTTCTCCCATAAGAAGTGTCATCCACCTGGTACCCTCAATGAAAATCGAGATTGGGAGAGAGCAGGATGCAGACCCGTACTAAGGAGGGTTGGAAAAAATCTTCTCATACTGAGAATCGTCCTTAATATGTACCTATATATTAGTACGGAACTCTCGGTGGGCGAGTCCGACTCGCACTTTTTTTAAATTTTATTTCTGTTTATAATAATGCTATAATCTTTTCCATTATACAAATAGAGGACGTCATTTTTATTGACGCATTTCGTCGAAATGCATTCGCGGGCTTGTTCTTACGAAATGCCGAACTATTAGAAAGCGGAACTTGAGAATGGCCCACGGGCCTACGTAAAACACATTAATAATGGAACTAATTAAAACCCAAACGTAATTTATTTGAGTTTTCGGGTTATTTCGAATGAGAATTATCATAGAAATCGCCTCGGAACCGGTTGGAATCGTGCGTAGAGGATTGCAGCAACAGAAAAACCAGAAAATATGATAATTTTCATGTACCTTCTGCCGCGAATCTATCAATTCGACCGTGGAATGTATAACACACGTGTCAGCGCGTATTGATTGCATTCTTTTTCAGTTTTTAATGTATACGAATAAGTTACATAGAAGCATGATAGCAAAAGAGGTTTATTTTTTGGGCCCATATTGTTACGAGGGTTCTACAATAAGAAGAGTTCAGTTTTACAGACTAGTGTGGGATTGTGTGTGTGCTCTAAAAACATTGGGTCGGCTTAGCAATGTTACGTTAGCCTACGTACAAGGGTTACAAGCCCACCAAAGGACAGAAAGCAATGAAAACCCGCATTGAATATGAATATTAAGATGATTTCGTGATTTTCTATTTCCCATTAAAATAACATGGGGAAACAAATTCTTTTTATTTATAATTTTATTGCGTTCTATCAAATCAGCGTTTTGTCAAAATCAATACATACTCTTGCAGGAAATTGAACGGTCTTCAAAAAAGGTCTGATATGAATTTTCATTTAATCGACTTAGTTGAGAGTTATTGAAGGTTTAAGTTGAACTAATTGCAACCAAAATCTTGTTAGATACATCGGAAGTATTTGTGACCATGATATGACCAAGCAACTTTCTCTAATATACACTGAGTATTTGTTTTAAATTATCATTCAGTATTTACTGCCAAGCATCTTATAGTCTTAACTCGTTGACAAATAGTAAACTATTTTTTCTTGGATTTAGTGTTATAAATCTTATATTCTGTGGTGATAAATACTGGCTTATGCCGATGCCGCTCCTGTAGTGCACTGAGTCATTTGTTTTATAGTATCGTTCACATAGTATTTCGCATTACTGTAATATTGATTGCCTATCAAAAAGTCCTTTTATTAGATATTTGAAAAAAAATGATAATTTCGGAAAATTTTCAACTTCTCCATTATTCACCCAATTTTTTTAAGCCAATTCAATCCTGGTTATATTACATACCGTCTCTGAAAACTATACATTTGCAATTAAATCATAAAAAATATTCATTTACTCATTATTTAAAGAACCTAATCAGTCATGGATGTTAAGAAACGGTATGCGCAAATAAATAAATAAATTTATTTTTTCGAAATTTCGGAGAAACAGTAAGAACTAGAAACAAAGTTGAAATGTAGTAATTAAACGTTCAGTAACTAAACGTTCTCTAGAAGCATTAAATGTTTTTGAGTAACTATAAATACTGCATAAGATAAGTGTTTGCTACTGTACCAAAATTTAAGTGTTTCGAACAGTACTATTTTTTAGTATCTCCGGAAATAAGTACATAGAAAATATATTCCTGCGGTTGATGTAATACATAGTACTTGAAAATTCTAATCAATACGTTAAATAATAATAAAAACAACCGCAACTATTAGGTACTCTCTATCAAGAAACATACGCATATTTGGTGATAACTGATTACATTCTAAACAACAAACATTTGGTACTTATTACAAACAATCGCCAGATAAAAATGCGTAGGTATGTGTGAATATTGCATTCACAAATGAATTTTGATAATAAAAATACCAAATTAAAATGATATACTATATTAACTTACCATCACAAAACAATGTGACATCTGCCAAAGTTTCCGACTTGAACAGGTTGCTGAACGACGTTGCCAAATTTGTGCCGAAGTTATTCCATTTCAGACAGAACTGTTGGTGTTGAGAGTCCATTTCGAATCCAGATTGAAATATGTGATGAGCTGGAACAAAAAAAACAAATCAATAAACTGTCCATCTATATTTTTGTGAACAGAAAAACAAGAAAAATTAAGAAAAGATATAAACCACTAGATATTTTTTATCGTCCTGTATACAGGGTTCGGCAATAGTGCGTCGGGCATCTGTAGCTCCTAGAATAAAAAACTTGAGAATTTTGTTTAAGTTCAAACCTAAAGTATGTACGAGGATGTATTTCAGGAAAATATTTTCAAAATATTATAACTTCTATAGGGTGGCTCAAAAAAGTGTGAGTGGATCGGGATGATTTTTTTTGCATGGAACACCCTGTATATTATTCCATTTTTGGCTTCCTTTCAGATCACTTTACATAATCCAATAATACACGCAGTATTATTTCAAATGGCTCTTTCAACGGTAAAATACGAGAAAAATATGATTGGGTGGATTTGATAAAAATTTACTGTGGAAAATGCCATATGAAATTTAAAACCGCGAATATCTGCGAAACCGTTAAAAATTTTGAAATACTCTAAATACAAAAAATGTTAATTTTTTAATCCTCCATCTATTGAAAAAATAATATACAGGGAGTTCCGTTTAAAAAAAAAACGAAGAAAAATTATTTCATATTTTAGAAAGTTTAGTAGAATTAGGACATCCTGTTTGATTTACAATTACAATATTTATAGCAAAGTAAGTACACACCATTTAAAGTAAATACCTAATATAGTTTTGATTACAGGACAGTTCTTGTATTTTTAATATTTTCTTAAGAAAGGCTGAAAAATGTAGATATATTTTTTATTAATTTATTAATATCTCTGAATTTGCCGGACCCTGTATAGCATGGATGCAATTTGAAACAGTCTTAGTAACAGATTTAAAAAAGTTTATAATTATTTCTAGAAAGAAAAATGTGCTTACCCTTGTTATTGTTAATTTTTGGATAAAGCATGTTATTTGGTTTAAGTAATCACTAAAAATAAATTAATTTAGTTTCCAAAAAAATGTCAAAATTACTTTTAGTGGACTAGAATCGTCTAATTCTCGCTTCAGAACTAAATAAACAAAAGACTGATCGATTATATTTATACAAACGGACAATTATTGCGATATTTGCAACAAATAATGCTTAAACTACGAAAAATATTGATAGTAATAGAGAAAAGCGTATCTCGAAAGTGCATTGTGCATCATTTTGCGTGTCGTCACCACAGATTACCGACAAAATTTCGCAGTTTCTAGTGATAAACAAAATAACTTTGTATAAACGGAAAAATTACATTTGTATTATTTATAAATTTTACAAGTGGTAAAACCTATTTGTTTGTCATATCAATTAGATAGAATTTTATTGAGCTTTGGTATGACAAAAATGGATTATGCACAAAGAATAGTAATTTTTAAAATTTGTAGATATTATGAAGTATATCATATATTTTTTTAAATTTTATTCTACTTTATCTACAGAGTGAGCCACTTTTTTTTGTAATACGGCTTTAAAATTCAATTCAAAAACTGTTTTATACAGCATGTCGTCGAGTGCCTTAGAAGAAGAGGAAAACTTTTTTATTCTTTACATTTTGAGAAAAAAACATTCGTTAAAAAAATTTTGTTTGATTTTGAATTAAAAATTAAAAAAAAAATAGAAATACTACTCATTTTAAATTTGGGAAGCGAATGTGAAAAACAGAAGTTTCGTATTAGCCCGCTTCGAGGATTGCACTAAAATGAAAATGCGGGAAGAAAATCCGAATATAATATGCGATGATAACAAGTATATTGTGATTCGTCTGATGCGTCCGTTGCATCCGGTGCGAACAAATGCGCGCTTACCTTTAATGTCCGCATCTTTGTATCTCTACTTATAAACAAGAAACCCCATAAAACACACGAAAATAAGACACCCTGTACACTATGAGACAAGAAAATATTTGTTTTTTTTTGGTTTGGGTATTTTTTATTCGTCCCCGATTCAGATTATTATTTGATTATTGTAAAAAATTAAAATTCTATTCATGTATGCCGAAATATGTCGCAAGACCGATCCATTTTTTTACCAAAGCCACAAAAACTAGATATATATGCAGCGTATTTACATTTGATGGATGTTTTTAAGATTGCATCAACTTTTCCACTTGATATGCGCCGAAATTAAATCGCTTGTTTCAGTATACAGCAAGTTTGACGTTATTTTTTAGCTTATCCTATGATGTACTGCGTAGTAGGACTACTGCTGTTACATACAGAGACTACTGCTGTTACATTCATCTCCTCAATGAAGAAACAACGTCGAATGCAGATTCTGTGAGGAAAATTGGGAAACACCAGAATACCTCATCACTGAGTACGCTGAGTCGACATTCGTGTCATAAACTTTGGTACGACTCATCAGAGGTGGAGAACAAATCTCTCTAAAACCGTCTCAGAGACTGGCTTTTGTAAAAAGCCCTGAGACTGTGTGATGAGTTATAACTCAAGAAAGATAGACAGAATAGATACTTAGAGCCACGGTGATTAACTTCCCTACATGGTAGGTTTTTAATAGAAAAATATGGGGTGGTTCTAAAAAGGGTGAAGTGAGTTGTTCTCCCTTTCAAGCCCTTGATATATATTTGACATTTTCCTGCCAGCAGCTATTTTTTTCAAAGAGGTCTTAAAGAACTACGTTTCAAATTGTTCACCCTATATATTTTTATCTATTTTTCTTTTAAATTTTATGACAAATAAAAAAAGACAATAGTAACTGCAATTGATTGGATTTCTATTCGCCAAAACTATAACAATAGACAATTAAAACATTATCTTTCATACATCAAACTATGTTTATTTTGGAGCACTTACGTTATCTAAAAAATATCTTTTTATTAGTTTTTTTTTATCATAGGCGTGCTGTTTTTATCTATTTAATGCATTAATATATTATGTACCAATGTGTCTATTGGACACTATACAGGCATAAAAAAATGAAAAAATTGCAAATCTTCAAAAGAAATTTTTTTGCAAAATTTTTTTCTAGGATCTAAATATACTACCCCTATAAATATTTGCACTTATTTAAGACTCGCCTTGTATAACGACAAGATCATTCTTATAGTCATTATTTGCATTGATACCACTTCTTATGCTTCAACCAAAAAATCGTTTTGATAAATTATAAACCAAGGATAGTGAAAGAAAATCAATCGACAAAACGGTTTAATACTCAATATTTAATAAGACTTTTTTTATTGTTATTAATAATCGATCCTTCGATTTTTCGACAGTAGAAATTAATAATTAATTCTCTATGAATTTCATTTAATTATCTCTCAAGAAAATATCATCCTGATTTTGAAACTACAGCAATATGAGTAAATTTTGTTAAAAAAATATTTTAACTATGGGGATTAACAATAAGATTCAAAAATCAAACATCCGGAATACAAATAATACACAGGGTGTTACAATTTTCAGTAGTAGAACGTAAATAGTCGATGATATATTTTATTGATTGCTAAGGACTTCCTAGTTAGTCTAGATAAAGGCACACGAAGGTCTTCGCTAACCATGTTAGCATCATTAGCAGATGAAAAAGCGTAAAGCGTATTGTGGTGAATTAGTGACTTATTTTGCTGTTGTAACCCCAAAAGTTCCAATTCCCAACTGCTAGGTTAATAATTAGTACCTAATTACATTTTTGGATTCGCGTCAAGTTACATTAAAGTATGTTTACGTCAAAAATTGTATATTAGAGGCTTATAGCCATAATCCAACGTGGTTGAATACCAACGTCTCCAAGAAAATCTCTTACTAAGTCCCTCTTTTATTCTCCGCTCAACTCCCTAAATTCCTGTGAATTTTCACTGTGCAGACCATTCACATGGGACAATACGCGTCTTCAGGCTCCCCGTGCTTGCCTGCTTTAAAAAAACTGGCTCTGCCCCCTTTAGATTTTGCAGGAGCCGGTTCAGGACATAATAGAACAATAGGAAAGATTCCAACTAAAAGCTCCAAATTGCAGTACGAGCGAAGGAACGTTCAATTGCGTTTTTTACTGCGTATAATCCTGCTTGGCAGGAACAAAGGATGTTAGAATTTACATGTGTACAGGGTATGCAGAAAAAGTTTGCAAGAAATGTAATAAAAATACTTATTAAAATAAATTAAAATTATTTTTTACGAAAAATACAAACTAAAATCAGTGTTAATGATCTTTTTATTCATGCATGACTAATACAAATGTTTTTCTAGATACTCGTATCCCAATTATATAACATTTTTTCTATTTTTTTATCCTGGCTATTCGATTGACGTCGCAGGAATATACAGGGTGTCAATGAATAAGTACAAAAAACAATCACAAATGACATTTGAAAATAAAAATAAATGTTACGATCCATGCACCGAATTTAAATTTTGATGTGAAACTCCTTTACGCGCGCTGGGAGTAAAAATTGAAGGCCGTGACACATCAGCTGGCGAGACGAAAAGTGGTAACGACGCGCACTGGGAGTAAAAATTGAAGGCCGTGACACACGAGCTAGCGAGACGAAAAGTGGTAACGGCGCGCACTGGGAGTAAAATTTGAAGGCCGTGACACACGAGCTAGCGAGACGAAAAGTGGTAACGACGCGCATTGGGAGTAAAAATTGAAGGCCGTGACACACTAGCTAACGAGACGAAAAGTGGTAATGACGCGCACGAGGAGTAAAAATTGAATGCCGTGACACACGAGCTAACGAGACGGAAAGTGGTAACGACGCGCACTGGGAGTAAAAATTCAAGGCCGTGACACACGATCTAGCGAGATGAAAAGTGGTAACGACGCGCACTGGGAGTAAAAATTCAAGGCTGTGACACATGAAGAAAAGTGGTAACGACGCGCACTGGGAGTAAAAATTGAAGGCCGTGACACACGAGCTAGCGAGACGAAAAGTGGTAACGACGCGCACTGGGAGTAAAAATTGAAGGCCGTGACACACTAGCTAACGAGACGAAAAGTGGTAATGACGCGCACGAGGAGTAAAAATTGAATGCCGTAACACACGAGCTAACGAGACGGAAAGTGGTAACGACGCGCACTGGGAGTAAAAATTCAAGGCCGTGACACACGATCTAGCGAGACGAAAAGTGGTAACGACGCGCACTGGGAGTAAAAATTCAAGGCTGTGACACATGAGTCAGCGAGACACAGCCTACCGCTTAGAAATACGTAGTGACGCGACGTGTGAGCAGTTCACGTGTTTATAAAAAATGTGGATATTTTAATACAAATTTTGTGAAAGTGAGTCAAAATATTTATTAATTTTTAATTTATTACTTTTTCAACATTTCAAACTACAAACTACACTTTTCCAAACATATCCTTCAAATCCTTCTGAATTATTTAATGAATTTTTTCACTTATTTTTTTTCACCCCGTATAATATTTTGTCTATCTTTTCCTGGCTTTTTGGTCGACATTTCGGCCCAGGAATATATTTATTACCGACCGAATGCCACTGTTTTGACGCAAACTTGCCCGACAAGTTTGGGATCGAGATAGATTTTTTTTCGATGACCTAACACACACTATGGTTAGAAAAAAAATTGCAAACCTGCCAACAATGATTCGCCTTTGAATTTTGAGCCAAAGGTGAACGCCCTTCGACAATAAAAGAGTTTTTTCCTTCTATATCCTATACAGGGCGATTAAAGTTTTTGTGGTAAAAAAAATCTATTTTTCTTCGTCGTATCCTTGTTCAGAAAATGTTTAGGTGTTTCCCCATTTTCCCCACAGAATCTGCAGTCGCCGTTGTTGTAGAATGTCAGTGAATATAATGTAGATGAATCTATATGTGGTTGAAATTAAAGAACAAAGACAACCAATTCGAATAGAATTTTTGGTGCGCCCGGTCCTGGCCAAATCTAAATTGCTTCTATTTTGTAATTAAGCAATAATAAAATTATTTTTAAATTGTACCTCTAATAGTCCTTCATCGAACCCAAAACTTACAATTTGTAAAAATCTCATCGTTTAGCTACAATACTCCGTGTCGTATGTGGTGAACAACCCTGTATATGTGGCTGTAAATAAATATATGTTTCTTTTATTGTGATCTACCAGCACTGAAAATATTTGTACTCACCTATTAAAGACTCACCCTGTATAGGTGTTTTAATATGCCACTTTTCAATCATTTTGATCGCTCCATACCTATTTTTAGGTTGCTGAACCCTATACTCAAAGCTAATAGACTCTTTAGGGTAATACGTTTTTTGAGTACGTAAAAATGCAAATGTAACT